GAAAATTTGAAGATACCTTTGGGCCTCTGAATATCGAGGCACCAAGCTATACGAACAATTTGTTTTTGTAAGATTCGTGAGTGGAGCACATACTGTAGGAATAAAGTCAGTATGTGCAAGGGGACTCTAAAAGTGAAAATAAGCATTTGCATACGTTCAGACGTTACCTTTATTCAGACATTACCTTTATTCAGACGTTACCTTGATGAACAGATGTTGCCTTTATTCAGACGTTACCTTGATGAAAATTTGAGCAGGTTTTCTTTAATTCTGCATTGAACCGAGCAAAATTGTTTGCTGATTAATTTCCTATGTTCCTGATTTAGTGATGCAATAGCTGAGTTATGCATAGAGTAATACATTTACAGCCATGTTAACTGGCAGTGCATCAGTTGTTTCATTCATTATGTATATCACAAGTTAAATATAAAAGTGCATCTGTTTGCAAGTCACAACCAATTGTGATGTGCTTCGACATGCCTATGAGATGTGCAAAACACCGCTGTTTACAATTTAATCATTTTGATCTGAAATCATATGACTTGTATGGATTTTTTTCCCAGGAGAATTGAGTTGTCAAAGATAAAATGCATATGCTTGAGTTGTAGATGCATGGCTATTAAAGTGATACTGAGTGTAAAATGGACATCCAGTAAAATATGCATCACATCCAAGTATATATTTAATTCAGATTATAGCATACATTCTGCCACTGTTTAACCTCACACACTCATCTTGAAACATTTTTTTAAAGAAAATCACACTGTTTTTTTTGCATTCTAACAGAAGTGATAATGGCTTCTTTCGCAGTTTCTGTCTTGTGGCCACACACATTCATATGCTGAACCCCAATTAGGAAAGTTAATACTGGTAGGAACCTCCTGGTTACACCAGCCCACAGGGGATTATTGTGTCCGTCCGTCGTGCATCCAAAGATGGGAGGGGTGGGGCTGGGTGGAGATGGGAGGGGCTGGGTGGGGAGGGTGAGGCTGGGTGGGGAGGGGAAGGTGGGGAGGGGCTGGGTGGGGAGGGTGGGGAGGGGCTGGGTGGGGAGGGTGGGGCTGGGTGGGGAGGGGCTGGTCACCCCGTGGTGCCCTTATAAACACTCAACGTTTAACCTACTCACCCTGGCTTGTGCCCGCCCTCACAGTCGGGCATATTTGCGGAATACACCACGTGGTGCCGCCGTTGACCCTGGCCATTGACCGAGCAACCCAACGTTCCTACCAGCTCCCTCCGCAGGAATGTGTTCATCTCGTTACATATACAATTCTGACGAAGCTGCGCAGAAGTTCACCCCAAATGTTCACACCACCTAAGTGTTTCCTAGATGTTTTCATTTCTGGAAAACATAATGTGTTGTGTGTGCTACTGCAGTACACCCATAATCAGAGCTCTCAATCGTCTAAACAAGAGCATCCACCCTGTTGTAACATTGTAACAGCGTGTGATGGTGAGGAGCCATTTTCAAAGTAACATTATTCAGATGAATAACGAAAATGCATGCGCATCTTAAGAGGGAACGACGTGTTGTTTTTCACCACCCACAGGCATCGTCACCATGAGTAGCCACCCGTCCTAAGTCTGCTGTCATTTCAAAACTGGTTTATGCGCTTTTAATCACGTGCTCCTCTTAACGTCCCTCAGCATACATTAGTGGTGCACCGGTCCATGCTTTGTGCACACTTGGATCTTATTCCGTACTCTTTATTGACTTCCACGCTTGTGATCCATATGTCGTATAGCAGAAAATATAACCTGATCACATTTTTTTTTAAACAACCTAAAGAGGACAGATACAGTTGAGCAATAAATAAAGAGATGTAAACCCGAGGTCTCCCTTGACAAGAGACATTGTAATGAGGGACATTTGCCCAATAAAACAACACAATTTTTAATCTCAGGGTAACACAGCAAGCACAAGAGCTGGCAATCGTGCTACTCAATTGCAAGCAAAGGAATGGGCGGCAATGAGGACAGTGTCACTCACCCCATGACAATCACAAACATATGCAGTTATATTTGACACTATTCCGGAGATCATGCAAATGCATCCAAACCTACCGTTTCAAAATGTCATTGCCAGGACTCACATTTGTCACCTGGGGCCATGTAATGCAAATCATTTTGGAAAATTGCAACCTGTGCTTCATGCAGTAATGCATTATTGTCAGAGGTTTTTTTAAAAACAAAATTTAAGTTGTATATACGCTGTTTGGAAAAGCACAGAACTCATATGAGCATCGTCCACATTTCAGATTGTTATTATCCTGTATTGACCTAAGTGAGTTCAAACAGGGCAAATATCAGCATAACTTTATTATAATTCTGCCCCATGATCTGTCACGCAATGGTAGCTCTCATCGGTAATAAATAGATTTAACTTGGTGTATGTTGCACGCATAAGCAGTGTGCCAGGTCAAGCAATTTCTGTATTAAATAGCAACCCGCACATCCTTTGGACACAACCGTCCATTCCTCCCAGCCAGCAAAAGTGTAATGCTACATAAAACCCTGTCTCTCTCCACCTTTCTCTCTTTTTTACGATCAGAGGAAACAAGAAGATGCTCGGTGTAGTCGGCACTTGGCTTCGTTCATCATTTTGTTTTTTTAAAATGCTTTGCTTTATGTAACCCCCCCCCCCCCCCTTTTAAATGAAAGATTTAACAAAATATTTCTCCACCTTTCTTGTGCCTTCTCTGTGCTGCTGTGCATCACAATGTATCTTGACTTCTCGGTTTCTCTTTGTTTCTGTCTATTCATCTGTCCCCCTCTCCTCCCTCAAGTGTATCTCACCTACTTACCCTCCCCCTATCTCTCTCCTTGTCTTTCTCTCTCTCTCTCTCTCACTTCTTCTCTCATCATTCCCACCTCTCTCTTTCCCGTCTCAAACTCTCTCTAATCCTCTCTCCCACTACTTGTCACGTTCCCTCGCTGTCCTCTTTCTGTTTTGCTCTTCCCCTCCCCCCTCTCATTTTCCTTCTCCTCTCCGTCTCTTCCCCCCCCCTCCTCCTCCATCTCCCTCCCCGACCTCTCTCCTCTATCTCCCTTCCTCACCTCCCTCCTTTGTTCTCGTATTTTATGGCAGCATGCATATGATAGCGAGACTATGAAGACATGATAGCATGATAGAGCATCCCGCACATTTGTGTGGGATATACATGAACCGGCTCAACACTGTGGGTTGCGGGTAGCGTCATCGCGCAGATGGCCCGCGGGATGTCACGACCACATACTCGCACTTGGGAGTGCAGCACCCAGCCAGACAGGAATCCACCAAGGTCATATAGCCAGACATTTTTTTTTCGAAGATAGTATGTAATATAGTTGAACACGTAGGCTTTCGCGACCAATATCATCCACAATAGAGGTGTTTTGGGGTTAGATCGCGTAAATATATAAATGTGTCGTTAAAACCCGCCACCACCCGACACAGCCAACTAGTAAGGGTTGTCATGTAAACAGAACATCCCAATTCGTCACTAGTACAGCACACCGGTGTGTTGGAGAGCCAAGCCACAACATTTACAATCCGAGTACGACGTTTCGCCAGTAATTACAACTGGCTTCATCAGGCGACAGCCAGATTTGTGGAGAGGTCTAACTGTTTCGTTCCTTATACTATAATATACTTGTAGGGAAGGAAGGCCTGGATGCAAAGCTCAATGTTATAAATTGTCCAGGAAGCGAATGTGAGTACAGTATATTCGACAGTAGCTGGAATTGTGTATATTTACAAATACACTCAAATACACATGGCTCAAACAAATATTATCTGCTAAAATACCGCGTGCTGCCACGGTGTAATGGTTAGAACACTTGACTTGCAATCCAAATGTCACCTGTCCAATGCTATCTCCTGGCGTGGCAGTTGAAACAATGGTGCAGTTTTCTTAAATCCCTCTGCCTCTGTCCATCCAGCAGTGCAAATTAATTCACCACGCTTAGTCGATCGCCAGGTCGTGTGTGGTGTGGCTTAAGTGGGGTTACACTAACCTCTTCCAACATATATTGCTAGCCTGCAAGCAGGCAGCACCTTCACAACTTGTTTTACATTTCGGTGGCTACCTAGAAACACTTTGCATACAAGCTAAGTGTAACAGTTTTAACCTTTTTTTTGAGATAATTATTCAAATTGTGCCTTGAGAAAGTACTAAAGTGATGGAAGTGTTTCTAGTCTCACACAGTTCGATTTAATTTCATACACAATTCAATTTGCTGTTGACACAGTAACAATTTAAAAACGCATTGAGATGATTAAGATTACCATGGTCATTGTAAGAATTTGTTTCTTTACTTATATAATTATTTAGTTTTCAATTATTACTACGGGTTGTATGTAGCTGTCGCAAAAATCAATATACACACACTTTGGAATATCAGTGTGGAGTCATGATGGGAATGTATGTATGTTGTTGAACTTATTTTACCCCGTACTTAGCCAACCGTGCTAATCAGAGGTGCAGATGATGGCATCACTGATTTACTGTGTGGCACCCATTCACATTTGGCATGAAAAAACTTATTCCGTTTTGTAAATGTAGACCTCCGTACGAGATTTAGATCAAACATGGAAGATATTTCAGTTACGTGTGTAGTACAAATCGTGAATTGTACTAATTTCATGAAGTCACCTGGCTTTAATACACATCTGGCAAGAACCTGTATTGTGAGGTTCTGTATTTAAAACCATACTCTCTGGTTCTTTCGGTAAAGTCACGTTGATAGAAAAAATAATAAAAGAACACGACGTTTCGGTCGCAACACAAGCGTCCGTCATCAAGTGAGAAATAATGATCTGCTGTTGTGGCTTTATATAGGCACGCTTGTGTTGCGACCGAAACGTCGTGTTCTTTTAGAATTTTTTCTATCTACGTGACTTTACCGAAAGAACCACAGAGTATGGTTTCCTGTAGTCACGAAAGCTTCAAATCAACCACGAGCGAGAAAAACTTTTTTTCGATTTCCGTTACTGGGGCATTGAATAAACAATAGCTTACCCTTGAAAAATGATGTCCAAAAACGTCCTCGGTATCCACTCTGTAGGAGGTGAGTTGCGTTGGTGACACTGTTAGCAGACGATCACTTTGATGATGACCTGAAAAAATATTAAATGATGGCATGGTGTCATAATCCAAGCTGCAGAACCGTCTCATCACTGGGTGTTGGAACGACAAGTTGGGCTATGCATCTGTTTGCAGCTGTACGCTGTGTGTTAAGTTGCGTTCCCCACAAGCATCTGATCTATGCCTCTTGGAGCAAGTAGTTTATTCCGACCCTGATACAGGACTAATTTCATTTTTAAAAAGTATGTACAAGCAAGCGTATCGCCCTTATGATTTAGGAATAATTTCACTTGGCAAACTTCACGTCTGATAAAGTAAATGTGAAGTTTGCCAAGCGAAATTATTTCTAAGTAATGTTTCTAGAAAATGTAAAGCTTTTACCCAATATCGCACATGTGGGTGGTGTTATAGCTTGTAGATAACGTGAGTTGTTATACTGTACTTCTTACTTAGTCCAGCATCTTAGAACTCTGGATAGTTTCAGTGATATATTTTAATATTATAAATTAGATAATATTCAAGAAATGGACACACAATTGTGCCATGTTGAAACAAATTTTCTGAATGTCTGAGTTTAATGCAAATGCACAAACTTTCCTGGGAATAAGAGCATTTCTATCAAATCAATTACCGCTTCTTCCTATTATGCATGTGTAGTGAGTTCAACTGAGTTGCAGTCGTACTCTTGGAGGCAACACATTTATTTAACACCAACACACAGGGTAACTGCCCCTTAACAGGATAACAACCTATGGCGGTGACCACCAGGCTAACTACACTAATTACAAGGTAACTGGTGTAGTTAACCAGGTGGTGACCACCAGGCTAACTACACTAGTTACAATGTAACTGGTGTAGTTAACCAGGTGGTGGCCACCAGGCTAACTACACTAGTTACAACGTAACTAGCTACTACGGACCAGGACCACAGCTCGGGTCCAGGTCCACGTGTTGGAGACTCGGTAGAACGTAGGACGTAGACGAAGGCTTCTTCAAGATGAACAACAACGCCGGCCCCTCTGGGGGACCCGGCTTATATTCTCTGCGGCGTGGCTGGCTCCACCCTTGGCCATGACCACCTTCCAGAATCCTCGATCAGGATCACGTGACCACCCCGAGCCCCCACTTCGGGGCCCCTTTGTAGACTTAACCGGTCACGTGTCCTCTCGGGTCAACCAGAGTGGAATGGCATTTTAGTAACCCCGGCACACCCACCCCAACCAGCGCTCACCGAGCCCCTCTAGGGCCGGTACTACACCCACACCATAGTGGTGTCTGTGATGTCGTTACATCGCACGCCGTGACTCTCTAGGGCTGGGACAGCACAGTGACATCCCGCGATGTCACTACACATGGAAAAACAATCATGCTATCTTCAACTGTGTCCTGTAACGGTCAGGGGTGACGACGTGAAACACGAGACAATGTGGACAGCAGGGCTGCATGGTGGACAGCAGAGAGCAGTGCAGCAACATCTACTGTGGTACTATATTGTGCTTCTATGCTCTCTTATCTATGCTCCCCCACTTTCATTAACCCGCATGAACCAGCATGATACAAAATGTACAAACTTCGGTCAGATAACATCCATGATCCATGTGGTGTGGAGAGGCCCTCATCCAGCTATGGATTGATAATTAAGTGCACATGTACATGTTCAGTGTCGTCTCATCATCCCGAATCATCATCATTATTCATCATTATCATTATCCATCGCCATTGTCACTTTCATCATTATCATCATCATCATCAGCGATGATAATATTACAAACTATGAATATGTACAATCATATTACAGTCTGTCACAATATTTCCAGAGAGCTGAAATTGCAGCTTCAATACGAGCCTCTAATACGCGGGGAACTGCGGGTAACGATGCGGATTTCATGCCCACTGTCATCGCACCCACAAATCTACACGAGTGAGATGAGAGCTCAGTGCCCCTGAGCTCACTGGCGTGCGCATGGAATTGCAGACGACGTGCACTGCACGGTGTGTATATTAGGAAGGTGTCAGTGCCTGCCCATTGGCTCCTTCCGCTACCGTTTTGCTTATCTACCAATAGCAGACATGATGAAGATCCGATCCGCAGTGAACGTGAAGACTCTCTGGATTAGCTTAATCCTGTGAATTATAAGTACCACTGTGTGTGGAGAAATCAACCCCTGCCATAGGATTGTGGAATTCCAACTAATGGATCAGTGTTCTAAAGAGGAAAAGAGCACCGCCTCGCTGTTGATTTTAATCGTAAATAATTTTGACTTTTGACCTTGTGAATAAAAGGCCTCTGGATAGGAGGAGATCCACCGTCTTTACTAGATTGTTTTAAAAACAAACTGCAGTTGAAGGTACTAAATCAAAGCATGATTTAGTGTGTGGTGTTGGTGTACTGATATGCCAATCTTGCAAACTTTGCCTGCTACTACATAGACGACACAAGCCCTCTTTTTAATGTCAGAAAAGGCAGGCTATTTTCCTCCTGCTCGTTGGAATGATGAGGGTAGTTGTGGTGGCAGAATGGGTTGGGGCTTTGGACAAACAAGATCATCTGTCACGAGGCACTACTCATTGCACCATCACTGACAATACGTTTAGCCCAAAAATCCAGAAGCAAGTAGGTACAATTGCATCGGTAGCGGTCCTCTCCTCTGCAAAAGAGTAGCTCCTACGGTTGATTAGATAATTTACAATGAACTATTAGATTGCAAATTAGAGCATGTAATGGCCTGCTGATTAAGATGGCTAGGGCATTTAAATGGGAGTGGGAGAGATTCAATATCACACTGCAGATGTGCACTGGAGATGTGCAGCGGGATATTGCAAAAAACTAAACTAAACAATTTTTTATTTTCCCAGGTAAGGTCCACTGAGCTATATAGCTCTTATTCTTGGTACTTTCGGTAAAGTCACGTAGAAGGGAAACAATAAAATAATAATAAAAATATTTTTTTTTGTTTCCCTTCTACGTGACTTTACCGAAAGAACCAAGAATATGAATCCCTGCAGTCACGAAAGCTTTAAATCAAATATATAGCTCTTTTTCAGAAGCAACCTGGCTGTAATTTATAGCTCAAGGAAGTCGCTGATCATGTGGACATTTATAGGAGCCAAATACTCTAAACGCATGTGTTTTTTTAAATGCGGAGGGAAAAACCAGAGGACCTAGAAAAAAAATATCCACGTGGCCATGGGGATAACATGCAAACTCCAAATATACAGGCATCAGTGTCAAGATCGAACCCATGCCCTCCTGTTTACCAGACAAGGTAGTTAACATCTTGCCACGGTGGCACGCCATTTCTTGCTAAGATTAGTTCAATTGGGTATCAGTAATCGGCAGAATAATGTGTGAAAGCCCTGCAGTAAGCTGTGACTCTGTACAATCAACACCTGCTGATAGCATTGTCAAGTCTATTACGTTGCAATACATTACAATACGTTTTCATTTAAAGGGGGAATATGTGTGAAAAACATTTTAAAGCACCTTCCTTAAGAGGTATGGAAGCATGCACATGAGATTCCATATGCAAATCATGACTTGTTTAAATATCATATGCAATGTCAGATATTGTCTTGGCAGTGGTGCAGAAGAGCAAGCTAAACACACTCTTTGGTTCTTTCGGTAAAGTCACGTAGAAATAAATTAAATTAAATAATAGAATACGACGTTTCGATTGCAACACAAGCAATCGTCATCAGGTACATACTTTACCAGTGCCATTCAAAGCATTGCACAAATGTATAGTTTTTTTTCTTTAACCTAACGTCTTATTAAAGCCAATGAAGCCATGCGCTTGAGCGAGCAACTGCTCGTGCCTGACAAATTGATTTAATTGGCGGAGCCAATGCCATTTTTAGACAGCTGCTCTTCCAACCCCAAATTCATTAAATTTATATGCGGCTCACCTCGGAGGTGTGAAATGCGCAGCAGGAATGCTGCATTCAGATTTAATCAATCCATAATGACGAGCGGGTGATCTTAGAATAGCGCTCTATCATCTCCTGTGTGTCTAATGACACGAACGTGCACTTCCCATGGCCACAAACTGAGTTCAGCGTAAAGTTAGCAAAAATACTACTCACGTCACAGACTGTCATTTTTAAGGTGCACGCATTGAGGAATAATATTGCTTACGGTATAAGGTCAAAACATTTAAAATTTCCTTAATATCGATATGTTTTGTAACGTCCATGTCGGACATGTAAACTTATTATAACAACGATGTACATACAGTCCTTTGTCAATCCAAATCTCGATTAAAGCCTTCCCATGCCGTGTCGGATAAGGGTGGGGGGGGGTGTTTGACCACACTTCACCACGATGGTCTGTGCTGGTTCACGAACGGGTGTGTACGTCACCCACCACTGATTTGAGCCATGGTCGCGAATCAAACTCAAGTTGCCGGCTTCAGACAAAACAATATGTTAAGTTGCAATGCCTATATGCATACTCTAAAAGAAGATTTGTAGAGGCTCTGCTTGTCGAGATACACGACAGTGTATGCATCTTGAGGACGCTACTGTTTCTAGTGGCAATTGGTTACGCCGTGGCCAGTCAAGGACGCGACATGAGCTACATGATTCCTTGCACACAAATGTTGTCCCACCCCGACGAAAAAAAAAGACGCGAGTGGAGAGCCACAAAGCTCGTTCATATCTTAGGGCTCAGAGCGCGAAGTACTTTGGCACGCCGTGTCAATGCGCTGCTAGACCACACGCAGACGAAGAACAGCGCGCGCGTAGTGATAACAGCGCACGATGGTAACAAGCCAACGGATCTCGAAATAGCAGAGATAATAAGGCAGGCAGGGGAACAGGGCGGCAGTGGAGGTGACGAGAGCGAAAGATGGGCAGATACCGTCAGACGTGCGGAGTCCTGAGTCGTGCGGACATACGCACAGGCAGGAGGAACACAGGACGCGCAGAAAGATAGCGGGACAGGCAGGCAGAGAGGTTGATAGGCAGCAACAGATAGGCCGTGTAAGACACAGACCTGGAGTGTCATAGTTCAGACGGAGAGTTAAATATAGACAACAAATACTGTATTTGTTTTTTTTTAAAGAGATATGCAGTTAAATGCAATACAAAAAAAGTTTAATGCATCTTTCCGCAAAGTCACTGGTCCAATACATGTGGTGTATGTTTGTGAGCAGAAGGAAGTTAAGCGTTACAATAAAATGCACAGATAAATCCGAAAACTACAGTACTTAATTAAAGCTGCTACTTATAATTCTGCGCTGTGATCAGCTACACAAACCAAACTTAATTACATTTTACTGTGAGTTCCCATGATAGTAAAAGCCTGCTTTTACAGCATAATTAGATTGAAAAACATTTTTTTAAATTAATTTCAAAATTCAACACAGTCTGGAGCGTACCTCGCGTTGGCGGTCGTCAACGTAAATTCTGGAGCGAGCTGTAGCAAAGAAGGAGCGAGAGAAAAAAAATATATAAACATTTAACAAATAACCTTGAATGTATTCTGTGCGTGTAGTCAGCACTCAATGCATAGCCCTGGCTGGGCTGCATCTGCCGAGACGGCAAGAGAGAGAGAGAGAAAGCCGGCACGGGCTCGAGGATGAGAGGGAGGGAGGGACACGTGTGTGTGTGTAGAGGCAAGCCGAAGCATGTCTGACCCCCCATCTGGCCAATGGGTACAGGAACATTTTATAGGAGCGTGCTGCCCGGGGGATGTGAGGTTTGGTCAATTCGCTGCTATTACGAATGCGCTCGGAGGCAAGAAGGATTGAAAAACCTCCCCCCCCACCACACACACGCACAGACAGACCGTGGCCGTGAGCCACAGCTGTCTGCAACACAGTTTTGCGGTTGCGTTCCAGTGTGCGCCGGCAATCTCTCGTTTCGCGGATGCCTCTCTCAGTTCGATGAGCCCACCGCTCCGGAACATGTGAACGCTTGCTGCACCACCCCCCGAACCACGGCGACACAATGGGATCATCCACTCTGGCACAAGATTTCGTTTTTTTCTGTGAACGGCACTTCCTGTCACAGAGCTCCATTAATTTGCAGAGGATGGAAAATGTTAGCTGCACAAGAAATTGCGTGTGGCATGAAATAAACAACATAGTTTTGCTTCCAAGGTTAGTATTAAGGACTGCCTATTAAATTGTATACATTTTCATCATTTTCAACAAAATATCTTACTTGGAAAAGAATACCCAAGCGAAATGTTATGCCAATTAAAATGTGTAATTTTTGTGTTGTTAAAAACAGCTAAATCCATTGTGTTGTAAAAGCTTGCTTATGTTATTGTTTTCATTTTTAAAAAAATCGCGTATCATTTTACAATGATTGACTTAAGTCAAACATTGCATTATGAAGGGAAATATAATCTTGGGTCTTTATGCAAATATGCTCAAACAGCACCTCCATAAGACAATTTAAATTAAACATTTCAGTAATCCTTAGAAAAACGAAAAAACACAGCAGAACATCACAAATCAATATGTTGTCAGCCTGGGGCAGGGGAATATTACCAGAAAACTGGTATCTCTCACACACATGCACAGTATGCTAAACTTAACATACACCATACATAAAGGCGCACAATTATACCATTGCATTTACATTTTCACAAAATTATAATTTTATTCCGAGAAAACAACAAAACCATTCAAGAGGGTGACAGTTTTTGCTTTCCAAAAAACACAATCATCAGTGTTGGGTGTTATTAGCAATCGGAGATGAACAAAGCAACCTGAAAGATTGATGTCTTCTATTTGAGACAAGGACTTCTGCAGTAACGAGCCATCCAGGACATCTTAACCCACACATGGATTTCTCAGAAGCCCAGGATGTGTGTGTGTCAAGGATGCCGATTAAACGATGACGTCAATGTACCTACAGACTTTGTTCCATGAACGAATATCCACAGTCATTGATGCCAAGACAGTCAATGTTGCTGCAATTGAAGAGAAATATGCACCCCAAGTAAAATGATTTGCAATGGACTTCAACAAACCCGACCTCAACCTGGGTTCCGTCATCACGTATTGACTCATCAAGTTAATGTAATTACAAGTTACCGCTGGGTTTGTTTGTGATTTTGATGCACTACTGATCATGATTTTTATACACCCGGTAAGAATTTAGTGCGGCTAAACCTTTGGGCAAAACGTTCACAAATACAGTACATGTCTGGTCCGAGGAAAGCAATTTGATGCTTCTGTTGTATATAATGCTCTGTATACAAACATATATATGCTGTACCCTGTATACAGGTTTACACAGATGTAATGAGCGACTTCTGCGACACGTCGTGTAGAGGGTACTTCTTCTTTTATTACTCACACTGGGCACAACACAGGCCAACACTTATTCCTTCTCACACTGAGTACAACACTCGATATTAACGCCTCTTCTGGCTACACACAGCCGATCACTCGGCGTGGTCCCCTCGCCCTCACTCGGCCACGCCGCTGGCTGGCAGCGTGGGCGGCCGGACGACGGAGATACATTTTGGTGAACAGCGACGCAGCCAGGACCCCGCACACGAGCCCCGAGCTCCGGGTCCGCTCCCCCTTATATCCCCCCAGGCGTGGCTAGGCCCCGCCTCCGGCCACGCCCTCTCGTGGAACCTTCGAGCAGGTTCCCGGAGTATCTCGGCTAGCCTCCACCTGTCACCTTTGCCCCAGATACACCTCCTTCTCTGATTGGTTGGTACTTCTGGGGCCGTGCCCGTGAATCCCTTCCCAGGCCAGCAGGTGTCACCCTGTCATTACACAGACACCAATGCTAAGTGAGAGATGTCGTGATGTGAAAGGTACAACCCTGCAATGACTTGCTCACGCCACTGCTGGTGGGAGGCCATCCACTCTTGGGAGGGTGCACTTTGGCCTTCTCTTCCACACTGGATAGACGCCCATGAAGAGGTTTGGAGTATCCGCACACTTTCAGCACGGCACAGACCTGCCAGTTGACTGTGGGTCACGATGACTCTTTATAATATCGCCTACTGTCTTTCTTCTCAGGAATTTCTAATTCACGTGCAGGATTTGGCCAAGTATCATACTGAGCTTTATTAACGATATTCTACCAAATATGGCCATGCTGACACAACATGTATAAGGCTACATCCACATGCAAATAGTTTAGCAACATTCCTGAAAACAACCTCAAGAGCTTATACTCGAGAGGTAAAAGTTATTTTTTACATATATATAACTACATACCATATGTTTTATTCCCCGTTTCGACTGGGTCATATTGCCCTGCCATTGTGAAAGATGAGCTGTAACGTGTGAGGTCAAGAAGATATTTAATTATCAAGGATCCAACAGCGGCTGACTTGTGGATTCATATGAATGTTGTATTATGATAAGATTCAGTGGTCAACAGATGCTATGTAAAGATAATACATGTTTTTACTCACCGAGTGGAAACATTTTTTACTTGACATGAAAAATATGTTTTACCTGGAAAACACCTTGAAATGGAACATCTCGATTAATTTCAAAGTGTGCTTACTATCGTTGTTATTATACCCATTTCTGAGACCACTTGTGTAACTTTAAAAACCTCTCGCATTCACTCACCGCAAATATTTACAAACACAACATGCACGCGGTTTGTTTATTTATTTGCGTTCTTCCTGCTCGCAAAAGAAATGTGAACTTCTGCACTCTGTGACAGCATCCCCGATGGCTTCGCATTGTTTGCGCTGTTGCACTTCGCATTCCCCAGTGATCGCTGGATGTGGCTCGCCAAAAACAATTTTTGTGGGAAGCGTTGGTCTAAGAGAATGGGGGGTGGGGGTGGAGGAAGGCAGAGGGAAGGTTCTGGGAAGGCTGCTAACCCAGGCATGTTTTTGGAGCAGTGGGTTGTGGTGCATTTCTGTATTCTGCAGGGACAGCACATGCGGCTTAAACCCACGGTCTTATAGCTGGCCCAAGGCCAAAGTAAAAGCTGTGTATACGTTGCATATTAAGTATGTATATACAGCATGTGCATAATACAGTCTATATAATACGTACCTATCTAGTTCGCTTTAACACGTAGGCTTTTGCGACCAATTTCATCCATAATACAGGTTTTTTGTGTTAGATCGTGTAAATATATAAATGTGTCGTTAAACCCGCCACCACCCGACACAGCCAATTAGTAAGGTTTGTCACGTAAACAGAACGTGGCCAATTCGTCACTAGTACAGCGCACCGGTGTGTTGGAGAGCCAAGCCACAATATTTACAATCCGAGTACGACGTGTCGTCAGTAATTACAACTAGCTTCATCAGGCGATAGCCTGACAGCCTGATGAAGCCACCACACCTACGCATTGTTCCCTTTTGTTGTCATCATGTTGCCGTCTGACCTTCAATGTCCGCTCTTTGTCTCTGCACTGCCACGTCTGGCTTTAGGTCTACCTCTTAATATGCAGTGGACTCATCCTTCAAGGATCGCTCTCACAGCCTTATCACCACCACATCTGTTTTCGGTCTACCCCTCAGTAGCTGCCCTCTGTGTGCCACTCCAATGTCTCAATAATTGGCCTCAGGCATCTGGCACAGGCAGCAGCATGGCACATTAGGGAATGGAGTTGCCAACACCTGATCCAACACCCTTTGTGAAATCAGTGCTTAGTGCTGACACCCAAGTTACGACGTCTCAACTCAAGCTAGGATCAGGTACCAATTTCCTTTGGTGTGGGAGGTGATTAATTGAGCCCGGGGTTGCTTGGATGGTAAACAGTGCACAAAGCGCCACGCCACTGCACTCAGCATGGTATGCATACTCTCCCGTAAACAGGTGCACATAAAACCTGTGTACAAACGAGCACAAGACGCACACACGAGTACGTGCATTTGCCGATACATATGAAGTCAAAAGGCCTTGAGAACAGGACATCAGTATCTACTCTCCCATATTGTTTTAATTCTAACCACAGAGTATTATTAACCTTCAACACCAGTGCACTTATTGTACGACAACATTACTCAATAAATATAGGGCTTAGAAATAATGATAAAATGAGGGTGTGCAATGTTTATTCGAGCACCCTATAGTGTACCCTGAAGGCTTGACAGCCTCTCATTTTCAACGCGTGCAGTTTAAACTCATTTACTGAACTTCCAGTGCAGCCACTTTGAACTGCATTTTTAAATTATTGTTATTTCATTGGTTCAAGTGACGGCACAATCGTGTGATGACTCTGGCACCAGATGCGCATCTCACCACGTGGCTTCGCGCCCGCACACTCCCACTGTGTTCACGTTGTCGTAACAAACGATGCCACCCTGTGATGCAGCCTTGCGCTCGAGTTCATCTGCCCCGTGCCACTTACACTCCGATTCTGGCCACAGTCCCCTCGGTGAATATGAATTTATTCTTCAGTTGCAAGACAGGGTAGCCTTGACCTCAATGCATAATACTATGCAATCGCTCATGATGAATTAATTGTGTATGCGTTGCCCCAAGCAATATGTATTTTTTAAACGCGTGAAAACTTTTCACGCAGCAAATCTAGTGGCACATATCAAAGGTTAAATAATTCCATAAAACTACCAAAAACATGCATGGTTTAATATTTAACTTTCTCCTTGTAGGCAGCAACGTCGTGGATTCAAGACAAGTGACACATGGCCCCATGTTGACATTACTGTTCACCTAGTTCAGTTCATGAATGCTTTATTGGATAGGAAATCTATGTTTAACAAGAGTTGCCAGAAAAAAG